ACTGTATTTTACAATGCAATAAGTCGCTGAAGTATCTGGGGGTAACACTGGACAGGTCACTAACCTTCTAACAACATCTGGAAAAAACAGCTGCAAAAGTGAAAAGCTGCAACCATTTACTAAACAGACTGGCTGGAACATCCTGGGGTGCTGATGCTTACACTCTACAAACAACAGCTTTGGCTTTGATATATATTCCATAGCTGGATATTGTGCCAGCTGGTGGCTTAAAGCACCCACACCCATATGGTCGATGACCAACTCCACCAGACAACGTGTATCATCTCTGATACATTGCTTCCCACACCTGTGCACTGATTGCCAGTACTTAACAATATCCCAGATTAGAAGCAGAGGTGGGCTGTACTTTCATTGGCAAGAGGTTCGCTGGTCGTGAGCGTGCTGCTTTGGGGCTGAAACGCAGCTTCAAAGAGGCAGCTAATTAACTCTGGCAGCTCCGGTGAGTATAGCAGGGCTGCGCGGAACTTACCTGGGCACCCTGGGTGGGGGAAAAGTTAGTTATTTAGGGAAAGCAAGCACAAGGGTGGGTGGGCAGGCCCAGCCAGAGTTCACAGCTAGGGGTTCGCCCAAACCTCGCTGACCATCCAGCAGCCCACCACTGGTTAGAAGACAACAAGCTCTCATTCGGCTGTGGTCAAGGATGCTGAACAACAAGGCCCTTCCAAGACAATGCACAGTCCATCACAAGATTGAAATCCCATAGGCCAACATGGAAAATAGCTGTTTACATAGCATCAACCCAGTTTAACCCTGAGAATGCCTGGAGAGAGGAATGGTCCAAGGTACCTTCTTATGGCTTGACTATTAGTGATCCCACTACTAAGCCACCTGGGTTTGGTCTGCCTTGCTCTGTCTAGATGAAATGAGTTAGGTGTGATACTGGGAGAAGCACCTGTGCCCTGTATCAGTGGGGATGGAAAGATTCTCCCTTGTTGATATTGTGGTGCTGATACACAAACTATTAAACATATTGTACAAGATTGCCCACGACGTGCGTTTTCTGGTTCCCTAGAAGATCTGTATGAAGCAACGCTAGAGGCAATTGCCATATACCCATATAAATTTTGTATATAATTACACAGATTGTGTGTATATGTTTACTTCTGTCATGTTCTCATTATATGCTAAATAATAAGAATTGAATATATCGTACAGCCCTATAAAAGTGACATTACATATTTATCAGATACACCGAGACTGTTGCCAAACACTAGTTTTCTCCTCACCTACCCACACAACCACCAACTACTACTTACTTGCTACAAACATTAATGCTTTTTTTTAACCTAAAACAGATGTTCCCTAGTATCTTGAGAAGGATGAAAATCTACATTTTGCTTTTCCCCTGCCCCCCTTTTTCCTTAATTTCTGTTTCCTTGTATTTTATCTTCCTTTGAAATTTAATAAAATCTTATTTAAAAAAGATCCAGCATCTAACCAAAAATATTTTGTACCAGTACCAAAAGACAGCCCATCAAGGTCCATGTATAGAAGCTAACAAGAGTGGAATCCTATTTCATTCATTCTGGTAGTAGTCCAGGGTAAATGGCAGCACATTGTTGTTTTTCTGTATCTTATTACCACCTAATGAGAAGGAAGGACTCCCTGGAGAAGAGCCTAATGCTGGGATCGGCTGAGGGCAATAGAAGAAGGGGACGACAGAGAATGAGGTGGCTGGATGGAGTCAATGAAGCAATAGGGATGGGCTTAAATGGACTCCAGGGGATGGTAGAGGACAGGAAGGCCTGAAGGAACATTGTTCATGGTGTCGCGATGGGTTGGACACGACTTTGCAACCATTTTCTACCCACCACCCAGGATTTGCTCTAGTGGTAGGGCTGCCCTTACTTTAGCTTATTTGTCTCATCACTCATTTTTCTGCTGTCCCATTTTCAATAATGTAAAATTTCTATTTTGCTTTGTTGTACTTCGTTGCCTGGCTTTTCTTTTTCCTCACTACAGTTGAAAGAATTCATTTTTCTCACTTTTTTGCTAAGTGTAACATTGAGATGATGAATTTCTCTCATGACTCTTGACTCTTATTATTTCCCTGAAATCTAGAAAAAATTATTCTACTTTATTTCTTTCATACATAGGACAACTTGGTTAAAAACTCTCTTGTATTTTTACTACTGAAGTGCCTCTATTCTCTCTACAAAATAAAGCTGGCCAACAATAGAAAGTTATAATGCTCAGGGATGGAATAAAAACCTGTAATAAATGAACAGATGTTAGTTTCTTTAGTTTAGCTCTTGAAAAAGACTTTTTTGCATATAGTATATTATCCTGAATATTTTGAAATGTTACATGAGAAGGCAACTGGGAAGAGATAGAAAGGAAGCAGACTTGTAACTAGGGCACTGGTGGTGGGCTTTTGATTTGACAACAGCTTCAAAGGCTGCCTCTTAAATCTTAATTTTGCTTTTGCATTGAAGGAGCAGAAAATCAAATCAGGCAACAGAAATATAGGTGTAGCTCTATGGGGAAGAAAAGGATTTTCTTTCAGGCCAAAGAGAAGGGTTTGGTAGAAAATGTATTTATTATCAATATTTATATCCCGCTTCATATGTTAAAAAAATTAAGACACTTCATAATTATAATTAAACACACCCGTTGTTCACACAGAGAGCTAGAGAAAGCACGGTTAGTTTATAAAATGGATATTCAGAATGAAAACTAATTTGAGAAATCTAGAAGGTTTGTTATAATTTGCCAAAAATAATTTGAATGGAAGTTAATGAGGTGTAGGAGGAAAATTCATATATTACTTGGAATTGTTAGGAGGAAATTATTTGGTGCTGATATCACCTGTCAATTTGGTAGCCTTGTACAACTATTATTGCAGCACTAAGTAAAAGCAGAGTCATAGTCTGGTATCTCATTCTGTCTTTTCTTCTGGTATTATAATCTACAGTGGGGAAAAAACCTTGCTTGTCACCATTTAATTCATCATCGAGTTTCCAATAGTAGCCAGGCCTATTACACTAGGGAAATTGCAAGTGAATGTGAAGTCAATATATTCTCCTGCTGTTCATCTTTGTTCCTATTTCAGATGCCACTTGCAGCTGAACATGGAAATTCCATTTTTGTCATTATGCCTGAAAAGAGCGCTTTCTATGGGTGGAGCTAGAATGAAGAAGATAGAAAGAAATTTGGGTAAGGAAATAACGATCAGAGTGAGGAAGTTTCATGACAAGTGGGATGTATAACATGAAAAGACACTGAAAAGACTCTTGCTACCCCAATCATTTCTCAGCCCCTTGCCCATATTTCAAATGGGAACTATAGTCATCTACAAGATGGCCTAGTTGTCAGGATGAATACGACAAAAACTGGAAATCATACTGTCTGCTTAACACTTAAGTAGCAATAGCAAATAGACTTATATACTGCTCCATAGTGCTCCAGTCCAGGGCATTCTCCGAGCAATTTACAATGTCAGTATATTTCCCCCCCAACAATCTGAGTCTTCATTTTACCAATTTCAGAAGGATGGAAGGCTTATTCAACCTTGAGCTTGGTCAGAATCGAACTGTGGGGCAGAGTTAGCCTGCAAAACTGCATTCTAACCATTGCACTACATGGCTCCTTATTGCTTAAACCAAAAGCAGAAGAGATGATCAAATATACTTGCAGTGACACATAAGAAAACTTTTTAAGAATACAAAATAAAAGCACCCTCCCCCTGTTCCCAGCCAGTTGAAACATATCTTCCCAGAGTTGCTCTTGTTTTTATATTTACTTGATAAGTTTTGTATGGGGCTGTACTACATGTATCTAAAGAAGTTAACTGAACAAGGTAAAATGAAATAAAAACTGACCTTCCTGGCAAAGCCTTTGGGAATATTATTTGTACCAATGTTATTATCACTAAATATTTTAGAAACTGCTAAATCAAGAAAATAAATTTTCTACACTGATCTCTCTGTTATAAACATACACCAATCCAACTGTATTTCAATAAAAACAGAGCACCTCCATAGTCTGAGATAAATGGCTTTGTCAGTGTTAATTTTTAACTCCTCCATTGAATACAAACTCTTCAAATTCTCCAAATCTTCCCTCCCATTACATGCTGCAAAAAATCACTCAGCCTCCTTTGAAAAAATAATGATTCAAAAGCTCTGAAGAAGTATATTTGTGAAAGGCGGCTGCGCAGGTGAATCCCAACAGGTGAGTGTGCGGCATCAGTTGAATTGCCAGTTGCATATTAACCTCTTTGCATCTTTTTGCATGCAATACCCGTCCTACACCTCATCGGTTCGGATAAACCAGTTTGGGGGGGAGGGTAGATACAGCCTGTTTTCGGATGCTGTCTAGCCTCCTCCTTTTAAAACGCTGTTTTATACCGTGCAGGTTTGGGAGAGTTGGTGAAAATGGGGCCTCAAGATCCTGAAAACTACAGCTGAGGCTCCTAAAGCCACAATAATCCGCAGAGCCCAATACATAAAAAGAGGCGACGAGACAGGAGAAAAGAAACTTGTGACGATTCCTACGTGCAGACGACCGGCGCCGTCTAAAACAGGATTCTCCTCCGAACTATTTTTGAATTCTGTTCCGACGCGCCGGGCTTCCTTCGGCACAGCAAGCGTGCAGCCGGTTTCCTAGTAGTATCTCCGCTTAGCCCTCCTTCCAGGGAAAGAAGGGAGCCGAGGCTTTCCTGGGGTGCATTCTCTATTCCCATCCGCTCAATTCAATCAAACCCGGGGGGGGGGGGGGCCAGCCACGCGATCCTCCTTCTCTGCCCCCCTCCCCGCCGTAGGCAAGACTGCCGCAGTAAGCAGCTTCTTTCCAGCCTCCCGGGTTCAAAACCCCAATAAAAGCCCCAAAGGCCGGCGGCGGCGTGTCACGCCCTCCAACCCCCGAAGGTGACCTTGCAAGAGGCGGCGGCGGCAAGAATCCGCGACCCGCACTCACTGCACGCCCATCTTCCCCCTCCGTTACCGCAACCTCCTCGAGACCTGTCAGCAAGCGCTCACCTGGTAGCGGAGGAGAGTGTCGGGCTCGTTACTCTCGGCAGGCATGGCTGGCTGGCGCCGGGCGAGCAGGTGGCTCTGTTCGGCTGGCGATTTCTCTCTTCTTGGCCCTTCTAGAAGCGGTCGGGGGAGCGGCGGCCAGCCGCGGAGTCACGGGCGCCCGCAGCCCGCCGCGCTCCTCGGCTCCATCTCTCCTCCAGCCAATCCCGACCTAGAGGCGTCAGGCTCCTGGGATGGAGAGGCTGGAGGCGTGGAAGGAAAGAGTCCGGGAGGATGCTGCGAGGGGCGGAGGGCGAGGAGAAGGCTGCGAATGACGAGGGGACGCGGGAGAGCCGAGGGAAAAACGAGAGCATTGCTATGGGTGGGTTGGTGGGGGAGAGGGAGAGAGGGAGGCGCCAAAGAGGGAGGGGCGCAAGGTAAGGTGAGGAGAGCGGGAGTGGGGAGGGGCGAACGGCATGAGACAAGGGAGGAGGAAATATGGAGGGCGGGAACCAGCCGAGAGGAAGAAGAGGAGGAGGAGGAGGAGGAGGAGGGTGGGGGGGGGGGGGGTGAGGTGAGGTGAGGGAGCGAGATAGAAGCGGGAAAGGAGCTGACCGGCAGAAGGCGAAGCAGAATCAGGAAGAAAGGGGTGAGGACTAGAGAAAGTCTTTTAAATTTTGCATTCAGAAGACAGGTGTGTCTCTGTACATCCCCTCCCCGCCCCCCCCACCTCAGCATGACATACAGAACCTGGTCTGAGGGAAGCATAGAAATTAATTTAATTGTTTTTTCCAAAACATCTTTATCAAATCCAACTTTCCTCATTTCCCATTCTTTCTGTACTTCTTTCCTCTTTCCACTCTTATCTATCTCTTGTATTGACTTCCATCAGCCTTTCTTGTAGTTGCTGCAGGTGAAGCATGGTTTCAAAAATAGCACAAAATAGTGGGTACTTTATCAAAACTTTCCCATAACTCAGATCTTTCTCTCACTAATAGTAACAATAGTTTTACTGGCTCTTTCCCTCCGTGCTCCCAGTCTTTCTATCTTATTTATTGATTGATTGATTTGATTTGTCAATCGCTTGCAAGATACAGGTATAAGAATAAACATAGTTTTGAATGCATGAGATGGATATGTATAAGAAAAATAAAAAGAAACAATAGGACAGGGACGGTAGGCACGATTGGTGCGCTTATGCATGCTTATCTTGCTAACATCATTGGGCCAAAACAAACTGGTGAAATCAGAGGAGATAACCTGAATTATATTCTCAGCATTTCTAAACATGTTTCAGTGCACTATCTATATGGTCATTTTGATTAAATATGCACATATTCTCAGAACACAGTGAAAAACATTAATATTCCTTTTTTGTGTCAGTTACTTTTTTATCATATAATTTTAGTTTCCTGTTTTCAATTTTGAACACAACAAAAGAAGAATATACAAAAGATACAAGTCCCCTGATTTATCTGAGGAGCTGAAGTTAAAGGAATTTTAAAGTCAAGGAACTGGTTTTTGTAAAAGTGAAAATCAATTAATTAAAAAGAGTAAACATTAAAAAGAATGACACCAAGTAATCTTTGGAATCAAGTAATCTTGTCCTCTTTTGAAAAAATGTTTTGTTTTTTTTTAAAGCTAAATGGCTCTTGCATGTGGAATTAATTGACAGAGTGGATTCCGCATCTATAAATGTTTTTAAGGGAATGTCACCAAATGCTCAAAAGAAAAAATAGTTTTGAATGGTCATGGAAATGCTCTGGATGGGGTCTGGAGATATTCAATTCATTATTTTGTATGAAATAGGCAGTCACTAGGTCATACAGGAGATCCAGGTTGGTGTAATGCTTAAGATACCAAGATAAAAGCCAGAATAATATGAGTTCTAATCCTCCCTCAGGCACAAAGCTGGCTGGATGACTGTGGACCATCAGTAGGTGAGGAGTGTGTGAGTTGTTAAAAAGGGCCTCACATTACCCCAATTTCCAACTTCCTAATGGCTTCCACATTGTGGGAAGTTATCAGGGAACATCGGAAATCACAATCATGTGATCACTGGGATGCTATAATAGCCAGAAGTCTGAGGACCCATTGTAAGAAACTAGCTGAGATGGCTAAATTAATTTCTTTGATACTGTTAGGGATACACCCTAGCAGAATCTGCACGGCAGTCAGGCAGGTAGGCAAAATATGTGAGATAAACGTTTTTGTAGCTTACACTCAGTAAAAACAGATACACTGTGCTAGTTAAATAGTTTATTCCAGCAAGTTTTAGCATAGTCAAAAACGGTCCATATATCATTCACTAATTCAGTCTGTCCAGGGATTATTCAGTTGCAAATTCCAGTGTCGAAAAAGAGACATCAGTAAACTTACAAATATCAGTCCAGGAATATATCTCCTCGCAGTAGAGATATGAAGAAGTCAAAACTCCTCTCTTCCTTCAGCAACTTAGCAGTAGGGAAAACACGCAGTTAACAAACCATCAATCCATCAAACCAGTCAATCGTCAGGAATCGTCAGCAAATGAGCAGGTTCTCTTGCTCCCTCTTATGGTGGTTCAACACCGCACCCCAAATTACATGCTTTGCAGTTTAAAGTGACACTCACTTAAACTTACTATCATAGTTTATATATATTATTTTACCCAAACTACGTTAGGTAACCTTGTTATTCCTAACAGATACGAGAAAAGACAACATCTACATTTAACTGGAAAACTTTATAGACTTTTTGTGTAAAACAAAAAAAATGAACATGTTTTGTGGTTTTGAAGATTAGGCAGGATGAATTATGGAAAGAAGAGAGATAATGTGGTAACCATGGAGTAAGTGGTAAATTTATAATTGTACTTATAACTGCTGTAAAAAAAGATTGGAAGCTACTTCTTTGTATCTTTGTATCTTTTTTTCTTCTTTTCTATTTTTCTTTTACTTTTTTGCCCTTTCTTGCATTTTCAGTTTTCTCTTTGAAATGTTCTAATAACTCTGGATGCAAAAATAAAAAAAAAACCTCAGAAAGTTCTGTTTGCCCTGAAAATCCTGGGATCCAACATTTTTGAGACATGATCATCAGAAATCACAAACCATTTACACCAACTAAGCCATCATCTCTTTTTTACTTTGTCATCCTTTACAATCTACCCTCTCTTTGCTGGTCATCTCTCTATGTGACCAGCATTTGTCTTCCAATGGACAAAATCTTAATTGGATTTTTTAGCATGTTATAAGTAAAACAAGTTCGGTATTTTAACATCTAATAAACATTTTTTTTTATTTTGGACTGTAAGAAATATTATTTTGGACAGTAAAATACTGGAGTGATATGAGTTAATGCAATCTGAATAGTTAGATTTCAGATCCATATTTTCATGAGTCAAGAATTGCTAATAATGATGTGCTAATGGAAAGAGATACATGTTTGCCACTTGAGAATACTATGGCAAGATAAAGCAGTGGCAGAGAATAGCAAATGATGCCAGCTTTTGAGTACAAATGTTCAATAGCAATAAAACTGGTCAGCACAATCTCTCAATCCTGCTCACAATGATGCCCCGAACATGGGCAGAAGTCAAGGAGAAACACTTTTTGAAATCAAGCATACAGGTGGTCCTCAAGTTACGATGGTTTATTTAACAACAGTTCAAAGTTATGACAGCGCTAAGAAAACTGACTTACAACCCCATTGTCAGAGTTTTGGGTGCTTGGCAATTGGTTGGCATTTACCATGGTTACAATGTCCCGTGGTAACATGATCGTGGTTTGCGATCTTCCCAGCCAACCTCTGACAAGCAAAGGGAGAAACTGAATTTACTTAATGACCACATCATTCACTTAATGATTGTCATGAAAATGGTCATAAATCAGGACCAGTGATGTGATGAGTCACTTAATGGCGCATCACTTAGCAACCAATATTCTGGACCCGATTTTGGTTACAAGTCAAGGACTATACCTGTATAGTTTTCAAAGTGATGATTCATGACTTTAAATACAGAGAACACCATCTACAAATAATAAATGTAATTCCAACTTGGAATCAGGCTGTTTGGCTATATTTATCCTTACTAGATTGTCAAGAGCTTAAAACTGTTATTAGACATCTCTTTATTAATCTTGCCACCTCTGTAGGATATGAAAAAGTTCCTTCAAAATTTGGAACTCCCTGTCATAAGAGATCAGGCTAAGAGCATCTCAGTCATTCTTCTCATAAACAAAATATTCTTTATGCTTTCTGATGGATTAAGTAGCTCTCTCCATGGGGTTTAAATTGGCTTGCTCCATTTTATTTCTGTGTTTCTAAATCTTATGCCCTAAGCTTTAAACTGTTTTTCTATAATTTAATGTTTTATTTAGGAATTCAGTGATTTTATTGTTGTTTGCATTTTATTCTTTTTTTTTCCTTTTTCCTAATTCCTTTGATGCTATTCTTTAGTATAAATAAAATGGATCAGAAATGAAACCGAGTGTGTGAAAAATTGTTTAAGAGAGCTATATGAGACTTCCTAGGAGCTACATGCAAACTGTTTGACTGAGATGTTTGGGAGAAGATATACAAATGAAGTGGTCAAAATATATAATGGGTTGTCTTACTTCACAGACTAACCATGTCATGTCGAGCTTGCCTGTTAAAAATATCTTGATGCTGATAGACAGATATGTCGGAATTCTATACAGGCCAAAGTGCACACCTATTTGGTCACTATTCTCAATCTTTTAGTATATATAGCTATGAGCCAATCACATCACTATAGTTGCATGTACAAAACATTCCCAGTGACGAGCATAGCTGCCAGCCTACTGATCCCCTGTGTCATTCTTTCTGTTGTGGTTGCAATCAGTAGAATGTGTTTGTGCTCTTCGGTAGGAAAGTGAAGATCAAGAAATACATGAAGCTCCCCACAAAAGATGTATTCAGAAAGCTTACTCCCAGCAAACTGCAGAGCGGCCACCACTTTTTGACTGCTTGATATAAACCACTGAACTTTTCATGTAAATGCTGGCAAATTGATCACAACAGATGCAGTTTCCTCCCACATGTAGTAGAACTTATGGACTTTTGACAAA